AAAACTTGTGTTGCTTTTTCTAGTAAGTCATAATTTATCATGTCGGGATCAAACCGTCATCTTATCCAAAATGTTATCTGTATTTGCTTGGCGTAAGTAATAATAATAATAATAATAATAATAATAATAATAATAATAATAATAAAAAGTTGGAAGGGATCTTGGAGGCCATCGAGTCCAACCCCCTGCTCAGGCAGGAAACCCTACACCATTTCGGACAGATGACTGTCCAGGATCTGGCAGGGTGAGAGCTGTGAACCATAAACACAAAGCTTTCTCTGTGTCCCTGCACAACAGCTACAGTGCCCTTGCTGACCTTAATAGGGACATTAAGGAGACTGGTAAAGGTATTTGTGAAGATAACTCAAATAAGCAGGGGATTGTGGTCCGAGATGAAGAACTAGATTTTGACAGGGAGAAGTGTGAATCAGGTATTGCACAACAGTCATGCAAGAATAGAAAGGCTCCCAAAAAGAGAAGCTACCTTCTGGTAGGTGATTCAATTATAAGGGATGTAAATTTAGGAAAGGACACAGAGGCTTTGAAAGAGGTCAGGTGTCTTCCAGGTGCTACTGCCAGTAGGGACAAGAAGCGTATTTCTAAAATAATCAAGAATGGCAGCAAGGACTGTGATGTGGAGGCTATTGTACATCTTGGCACTAATGATCTGTCCCAAAAAATGTACTCTCTGTGCAGAATGATTTCCAGAGCTTGGGGAAGGAACTTAGCAGAATAAGCTGTAGGCTTACTTTCTCAGAGGTTTTACCAGTGTATAAGGAGCAAAACGGAAAAGGCCAGCACATAGCACAATTCAATATGTGGCTAAAGGAGTGGTGTAAAGGGGAAGGCTTTGGATATATTAGTCACGATGTCAGTAGCTGGTCCAATCAAAAGATGTACAAAAGAGATGGTTTGCATCCATCAAAAAAAGGGACTGAGTTACTCGGCTATAAATTCACAGATTTTCTGGAGGGAAATTTAAACTAAACAGCGGGGACAGGGAGTTAATTGATACGGAACAACCCTGTCCCCGGCAATTTAAAAACTATAGGGCTATCAGTGCATGTAGCATAGATGTGTGTGTGGACAAGAATATCAACCTTGCTATCAATCAAAATGAAGCCTCTAATAGCGAGTGCCACATAAAGTGCACTAACCAAATAGGTGGTAAGACAATAGGGGAACTCAGGCACCACACAGGTTATGTAGAAAGGAAACACAGGGCCACCCACAAAGGACTCAAATGTTTATACACCAATGCACAGAGTATGAACAGCAAACAGGGTGAACTAGAAATTCAGGTTAATGAGGGCAGATACGATATTGTTGCCATTACGGAAACATGGTGGGATGAAACCCACACATGGAACACACAGCTAGAGGGATTTAAATTATTTAAAAGAAACAGACCAAATAAAAGAGGAGGTGGAGTTGCTCTCTATATAAGAAATAACTACATCTCCACAGAAATAGAGTACAACAATGATAAAAACTGTCTTGAATGCATTTGGGTCAATATAAAAGGGGGGGGGGGAAATGACATTGCCATAGGTGTATACTACAGACCACCCAACCAAACAGAGGAAATAGATGAACTTTTTGCCAGTCAGCTAACTAAGGTATGTAGGAAGCACATCACAATAGTAATGGGGGACTTTAACTACCCTGACATCAACTGGGAGACAAACTCCGCACCAAGTGGAAGATCAAACAGGTTCCTGGCAAACCTAGCAGACAACTTTGTCTCCCAAAAAGTAGAGAAGGGAACTAGGGGATTAGCCATTTTGGATCTAATTCTCACTAACAGAGATGAAATGATAGACGGTGTTGAAGCCATAGGAACCCTGGGAGGAAGTGATCATGCAATATTAGAATTCAACATTATAGAAGCACAACCAATAGAACACAGTCAAACTAGAGTCTTGGACTTCAAGAGAGGTAATTTCAATAAACTTAGAGAGGGCTTGGGAAGGATTCCATGGATGAGAATCCTCAAGGGGAAAACAACTCAAGAAGCTTGGGAAATTTTGAAAAATGAGATAATAAAAGCACAGTCTAGCACAATACCAACAAAGAGGAAAAATAACAGCTCTCAAAAGAAACCAGCATGGCTGCATAAAGAACTCTCTGACAAATTGAAAGATAAAAAGGACAAGTATAGAAAGTGGAAAGAGGGGAACATAACTAAGTCAGAATATCAGCAAATAGCCCGAGCCTGCAAAGATGAAGTGAAGAAAGCCAAGGCTCAAAATGAACTAAGGCTTGCGACCAAAGTCAAAAATAACAAAAAAAGCTTCTTTCAACATGTAAAAAACAAGAAAAAAGTGAAGGAAACGATTGGTCCATTAGTGGGTGGAAGTGGCAAGAAGGTGACAAACAACAGGGAGAAAGCAGAACTATTTAACTCGTGTTTTGCATCTGTCTTTACACAAAGGGAAAAAACAGACCAACCTATCAAAAATAGTGCCATAAAAAACAAAACAGAAACACAAGTTAAGATAGGCAAGAAAATGGTTAGGGAGCACCTGTCCAGCCTAGATGAGTTCAAATCGCCAGGACCAGATGGATTACACCCCAGAGTTCTCAAGGAACTGGCAGATGTGATATCGGAGCCACTGAACTATATTTTTCAAAGATCCTGGAACACAGGGGAACTACCAGAGGACTGGAAAAGAGCTGATGTAGTTCCCATCCTCAAAAAAGGAAAAAAAATGGATCCAGGAAATTACAGACCTATCAGCCTGACCTCAATACCTGGGAAGATCCTGGAAAAGATAATCAAACAACGAATCAACGAACACCTAGAGGCAAACAAAGTCATTACTAAAAGCCAACATGGGTTTGTCAAAAATAGATCATGCCAGACAAATCTTATTGCATTCTTTGACCAAGTGACAAAATTAGTGGATCAGAGGAATGCTGTGGACATAATTTACTTGGACTTCAGTAAGGCATTTGATAAAGTAGATCACAACCTACTACTTGACAAGATAGAAAAATGTGGGGTAGACAGAACCACCACCAGATGGATCCGTAGCTGGCTGACCGGCCGTACTCAGCGAGTGGTCCTCAATGGAACTGCATCTATATGGAGGGAAGTGTGTAGTGGGGTGCCCCAGGGCTCTGTTCTGGGCCCAGTACTCTTCAACATCTTCATCAATGACTTGGATGAAGGGATAGATGGGGAACTCATCAGATTTGCAGATGACACCAAGCTGGCAGGAATAGCCAACACTCCAGAAGACAGGCTTCAGATACAGAAGGATCTGGACAGACTTGAACACTGGGCACTAACTAACAAAATGAAATTCAATGGTGAAAAAAGCAAGGTTCTACATTTAGGCAAGAAAAACCAAATGCACAAGTACAGCATAGGTGGCACCATGCTCAATAGTAGTAACTGTGAGAGGGACCTCGGAGTCCTAGTAGACAATCACTTAAATATGAGCCAGCAGTGTGCTGCAGCTGCCAAAAAGGCCAACACAGTGCTAGGCTGCATTAACAGAGGGATAGAATCAAGACCACGTGAAGTATTAATACCACTCTTCAATGCCTTGGTAAGGCCACACTTGGAATACTGCATCCAGTTTTGGTCACCACGATGTAAAAAAGATGTTGAGACTCTAGAAAGAGTACAGAGAAGAGCAACAAAGATGATTAGGGGACTGGAGGCTAAAACATATAAGGAACGGTTGCGAGAATTGGGTATGTCTAGTTTAACGAAGAGAAGGACAAGGGGGGACATGATAGCAGTATTCCAATATCTCAGGGGCTGCCATAAAGAAGAGGGAATTAAGCTATTTTCCAAAGCACCTGAAGGCAGGACAAGAAGCAACGGGTGGAAACTAATCAAGGAGAGAAGCAACCTAGAACTAAGGAGAAACTTCCTGACAGTGAGAACAATTAATCATGGAACAGCTTGCCTCCAGAAGCAGTAAATGCTCCAACACTGGAAGTTTTTAAGAAGAGACTGGACAGCCACTTGTCCGAAATGGTGTAGGGTTTCCTGCCCGAGCAGGGGGTTGGACTAGATGACCTCCAAGGTCCCTTCCAACTTTACTACTATTATTATTATTACTTCCAGTGTTGAAGTGACTTAGTAGAGACAATTATCTAAGAACTCACAAAACAACAACAAAACCTGAAGGAACTACTTCAGTTACATTGAGTCAAAAAAATAATTCCTCAGTTTAAACTCTTTACCTATAAAAGGTTTTAGACTAAGTTAACTTTATTGAGATTAACTTTAACAATTTCTATTCAACCTCTATTTTCAGAGATTAAAAATGAATGAAACCTCTATTTCCTTCCAATTCTATTACTCAGATGTGCTCATTCACCTCTGTTAAGCAAAATAAGACCATAATTTAATATTTCTACCTGAGTTGCAAAATTTTTCATTTTAGCCAATGGTTGAACTTCAAACATTTTGAAATGTTCTGAAGTTGGTAAGCAATTCCGTTTCTAAATTTTTTCAATTAAATTGGATCCTTCATGGTAACCATTCCATTTTTCTCTTTCATAGTGACAGAACCTAGTGGCGTAACCAGATTTCGAATGCATGAAATCAGCAGTCCACTGCCTGTGCCATTTCCTCTTGCGCCATCCAGGCATTTTCTGTATATTTTGAACTTCCAGTCTGACACTGAACAATCCAGAAAAGATACCTGAGAATCCAATTAATTAGTTATGGAAGTGTTTTCTGGATGTTGCTTGTTCCAGTAGGATGGGTTGATAGGCAAAAGAAAGAACCATTCCCCAGGTTACTTAGCAAAGAAGAAGGGAGTCATTGATCACCAAAGCAAGAGGTTACTTTCTTCTTATAGCTTTATCTTGAACAAAGATAAATGGAGGCCACGGATCACAAACAATACAAACAATACAACATACGTATTATTCTTTTATATGCTAGGGAAAATCCTTCCATACAAATTAACACAAAATTCATTTTCAACATTCCCTTTTCTATGTCTTTCGACAAATGCCTGGACCATACTCACATTTGGAGTGTCTGTCACACAAAGCAGACGTTCTCATGTCACACAATCTTATTGTCCCCTTGCTGCTGCTATAGACGAAGGTGTTGCAGTGATGCGGATGGAATTCTGCAGCTGTAATCACTTCTGTCAACTCTTCCATGTTTGCTGGTTTTATATCTACAATATCTGATACGTGAGAGTCAAGGCAACATAAACAATACAATGTAGAGTTTCTCAAAACTAACCTCAGGATGATTTAGGATATAATAGAGTATGTTAAATTAGGATTTGGGGGTGGATGGGTTTGGGATTAAAATTGCTATTTATTCACTAGGGAAAGTTTGATCCAGTACTTTCTGTCTTAGAACATTCTAACACATAGGACTTTTATGAGGTAAAATGGAATCAGAGACAAAGGGACATGTTTCATCTACTCTCAAATGCCTGCTGAATAAAACCTCTAGCATTTATTCAGTAACTGAGCATCATCTTAGTAAAATACATATTTCCACACTTAGATGAGACTCCTTAATGGTTCCAGCTATCTAAATATTCTAACATAATTAGTCTTGGCATTATATTGATATGAAGTAAGAAAATAAAAAAAACCCTGTCATGGAGCAAATCCCTATGTACCAATGGGAGTTTATATTAGAAATCATTACAGTTTTTGCAGACCCTAATTACAAATCCTAGAATTCATATTTTTCCTTAGTTAATAGAGATCAGTTCCTCTTTAACAACCTTTGTTCTTTCTATTTCTTAAATTTACCACCTGTGCAGGAATAGTTTAGTACAATTTCCCCCCCTACCTTTTCTAACTATACACATCAGTGGGATTTGGCTCCCAAAGTTGTCCACTTTTTGGAAGATAAACCAATTCAATCAATAGAAGAAAAGTAGCACGTTTCTCAATTATTTGGGCAAATCTTCATTTCACCTCTTTGTCATCCTTCCCTCCCTCGGTTTCCACTATATATGTTGGGATTATTTGATTTCTGGGTCTCTGAGCCTCTTATCCATCCCCATACCACATTTTCATGTATGGAAGCATGAATGCTTTGTTTTATCTGCTTATCAACTCGAGTCCAGGTATTGACTCTAAACTACTCCCCACTAATTAGTCAACAAGCTGATGTAGCTACACAATAGACTTTTCTTTTCAGAAAAAAAATCAATTTGTGTTATCAGGGGAAATAGTCAGAGGAAAATAAGCAAACTGGTCAAATGAAATGGAGAAGTTAGCCATACAATGAGGAATTTAATCAGGTCTGTTCTTTATCTCTAGGATGCCCTTGTTGTAAGTTTGTGGGCAGAAATTGTCACCTTTTCCTTTGTTGTGGACTACTGAGTAAGATCATCCTTTTTCACCAATCTTGAGGGCAAGCTGCTTTCATCTGCCAAATATTTAGCTGGAGCAAGTTGGTGCGGTTGGCAATCCTGAGGCTGGCCTTACAGTTTTTGGATGAGAGTTGTACTGTAGAGAAAAGTTAAGACTCCTGACTTCACCAGCTGAGCAGCCCCAGCTATGTCCTCCAATGCCAGTAGCATCTCCATGGCCACTGGCACTCAAGTGAGTGACATTTTGTTTAAGCCTAACCAACAGGGTTAACATTCATTATTAACAGGGATGAACCTCACCTCTTGCTACTAGGGAGAGAAACTAATCTTCAAAATCATTCTTAGTGGCAGTGATATCTGCAGTCATTTCCAACCTTTTCAAATCCAAAATGACATCCTCCCCTTAAGAGGAAAAAAAATGACATTCCTATGCGTGAATAATAGAGTTGGAAAGGATCTTGAAGGTCTTTTAATCCAACCCCTGCTCAGGCAGGAAACCTTATACCATTTCAAACAAATAGTTGTCCAACCTCTTTTTAAAAACTTCCAATGTGGGAGCATTCATAACTTCTGGATGCAAGTGTTCCACTGATTAATTGTTCTAACTGTCAGGAAATTCTCCTTAGTTCTAGGTTGCTTCTCTCCTTGATTAGTTTCCATCTATTGTTTCTTGTCCTGCACTCAATTGTTTTGGAGAATAGCTTGACTCCCTCTTCTTTGTGGCAATCACTTAGATAGTGGAAAACTGCTATCATATCACTCCTAGTCCTTCTCTTCATTAAACTAGACATACCCAATTCCAGCAACCGTTCTTTATATGTTTTAGCCTCCAGTCCCCTAATTATCTTTGTTGCTCTTCTCTGCACTCTTTCTAGAGTCTCAACATCTTTTTTATATCGTGGCGACCAAAACTGGATGCAGTATTCTAAGTGTGGTCCTAAGGCATTATAAAATGGTATTAACACTTCATTGATCTTGATTCTATTCCTGTTATTGCAGCCTAGAACTGTGTTGACTTTTTTGGCAGCTGCAGCACACTGCTGGCTCATATTTAAGTGATTGTTCACTAGGACTCCAAGAACCCTCTCACAGTTACTACTACTAAGCCAGATACCACCTATACTATATACCTGTACATTTGGTTTTTCTTGCCTAAATGTAGAACCTTACTTTTTTCACTATTGAATTTCATTTTGTTCGATAGTGCCCGGTGTTTAAATCTGTCAAGATCTTTTCATATCTTAAGCCTATCTTCTGGAGTGTTGGCTATTCCTGCCAGCATGTTGTTGTCTGCAAATTTGATGAGTTCCCCATGTATCCAAATCATTGATGAAGATATTGAGGAGTACTGGTACCCCACTGCATACTTCCCTCCATGTAGATGCAGTTCCATTGAGTCACGTTGAGTACAGTTGGTCAGCCAGCTATGAATCCATCTGCTGGTGATGCTGTCTAACCCAGCTTTTTCCATCTTATCAAGTAGTAGGTTGAGATCTACTTTATCAAATGCCTTACTAAAGTCCAAGTAAATTATATCCACAGCATTCCTCTGGTCCACTAATTTTGTCATTTTGTCAACAAATGCAGTAAGATTTGTGTGGCATGATCTGTTTTTGACAAAAACATGTTGGCTTTTGGTTATGATTTTGCTTGCCTCTAGGTGTTCACTGATTCATTGCTTGATTATGTTTTCCAGAATCTTCTCAGGTATTGAGGTCAGGCTGATAGTAGTTTCCTAGATCTATTTTTCCCCCTTTTTTGATGGGAACTACATCAGCTCTTTTCCAGTCCAGTATAGTTCAGTGATTCTGAGATCATATCTCAGTTCCTTCAGAATCTTGAGGTGTAATCTATCTGGTACTGGTGATTTGAACTTGTCTAGGATAGACAGGTGCTCACTTACCATCTTCTTGCCTATTTTAACCTGTATTAACCTGTATTCCTAATCTGTTTTTTACGGTACTGTTTTGGTAGGTTGGACTGTTTTTTCCTTTTGTGTAAAGACGGATGCAAAAAACTAATTAAGCAGTTCTGCTTTCTCCTTCTTGCTTGTCACATTTTTGCCACTTTCTCCAATTAATAGACCAACTGTTTCCTTGACTTTTTTCTTGCTTTTTACATGTTGAAATAAGCTTTTTTTTGGTTATTTTTGACTTTTGTCGCAAGCCTTATTTCATTTTGAGTCTTAGTTTTCTTTACTTCATCTTTACAGGCTCGGGCTATTTGCTGATATTCTGCCTTAATTATGTGCCCCTCTTTCCACTTATTATATTTGTCCTTTTTGTCTTTCAATTTATCAAATAGTTCTTTATGCAGCCATGCTGGTTCCTTTTGAGGGCTGTTGTTTTTCTTCTTCATTGCTATTCTGCTAGACTGGGTTTTATAATCTCACTTTTCAAAATTTCCCAAGCTTATTGGGGTGTTTTTCCCTTAAGGATTCTCATCTAAGTTTATTGAAATTAGCTCTCTTAAAGTCCAAAACTCTAGTTTGATTTTGTTCTACTGCTTGTGCTTGCATCATGTTGAATTCCAATATTGCATAATCAATCCCCCCCAAGGTTCCTGTAGCTTCAACACCTTTTATCATTTCATCTCTTTTAGTGAAAATTGTCCAATATGGCTGATCCCCTAGTTCCCTTCTCTACTGAACAGTTAAGTAGTAAAATATAGGTGGAAATATGGTCATCACATTACCCTTAAGCATGCAATCTAAGTACAGCAACAACGTTGGGGAGCATTATGGGTTTCCCCAGAAGCTTCGTTCTTTATATTCATGTGCATTTAGCTGCTTTTAGAAACCCATATATGGTTATTGAAAAGAACTGAAAAACAGCTGAATGAAAAAGAAATTTTATCTGCATGTTAGGAATCCTAAGAAGGCAAGGTTCCAGAATAAATGCAGGTGTCTAATCATGTTTGGCTGCAGATATATATCATTACAGTCACAGCCAGTTATTTTCACCCTACTCTTGAGTAGAGAAGTGCCTACCTAATGCATATTAAGTACTACCTTCTGTTCTTGATTTGGGAGTTGGAACTTAATAGAAAGATTTTTTTCATTCTAAAAAAATCCAGGCTAAACAAAGGCTATTACAATTTTATCTTATTTTATTCAAGGTCAGGAAAAAGAAATCCTAGCTTGCTAGGCAACTGAGGATATCGTTTTCCATTACAAGCCACCAAATAATTTGTTTCTGTTTGTGGAGCCCTTGATGCTCTCTGACAACCAAGCTCAGAGAGCACTGCAGGACTCCAGAGTTCAACCCTGAGCTACATATATTGGATCTTTTCTGTTTGCGAATGTCGCTTGGACCCAGCTAAGAGCTGAGGAAATGAAGGCAGGGTCTGACTTGTAACTGATTTCCCATTACCAAAATGTTTCTACATGCTGCTAGTTGCAATGAAGGTAACAGCATTGTAGCTATTTCCCTTGATTTCTCTATACTGAGAGAACCTGTAATTATGAGGAATTGGGTATAAAGTATATTCCCCAAACAATCCATCCTATGATCTCATCTTCTTTTCCCAGAGCAAAATCTCAAATCCTCTAAAGATTACTCGTACAGCTTACTACTAAGTCGAGCAACTCTAAGACCATTGTATAGCCTATCCATACTTTGCAGGAACAGCGCAGTGAGGATTACAAACTTTTGCCAAGATACATCAACTGAGAAGCTAGACAAAGAAAGGATCTAATGCTCTCCAGAGGTTTTTAGTTACACTCCCATACATCTCAAGTACATGGTCAATGTTCCCTGTTTACTTGGGCGACTATTTTGCTATATTCCTTACTGTTCCTCTAAAAAGAAATAAACTGTCAAATCAACTTCGATTAACTGCATAGA